CGATTTTTTCAATTATGGAAGTTTAAAACTTTTTCATTTATTTGATTTTTAATTTGTGAATTTTTCGCTCTTAAACTGTTACAGTTTTTCGACTTCATGATTTTGACGATTTTATAATTTTTCGATTTTACAATTTTTCGGTTTTCCAATCTTTCGATTTTTAAGTTTCCAAATTTTTAGTTTTTTCAATTCGATTTTTCGTTTCTTCAGTTCTGCAATTTGCAATTTTTCGATTAGCCACTTTTTTGATTCAGTTTTTCAATTTTTCGACTGTTCAGTTTTTCAAAAAAAAAAAAATGGAAAAATGGCAAAATTGTAGTATTCAAAAATCCAAAAATGTGGAAAAGAAAAACTGTCAAATGAAAAAATTGGAAATCAAGAACTGGAAAAGTTGTAGAAACGAAAAAATCAAATGATTAAAAATTCAAAAAAGTGCAAAATCAGAAAAATCCAAAAATTGCAAAATTGAATCGAAAGAAACACTGGAAAAATAAAGGAAATGATAAAACAGAAAATTGTGAGATAAAATCGAGAAAATGAAAACTAAAAATCGGAAAAATGAAAAATAAAAATTGTGGAGCTGAAAAATCGAGAAATGAAAAATTGTGATACCGAAAAATTGTAATTAAAAAAATTGAAGAAACGAAAAATTATAAAATCGAAAGAAACACTGAAAAAGTATAGGAAATGAAAAAACAGAAAATTGTGTTATAAAATCGAGAAAATCAAAATAAAAAAATCGGGAAAATGAAAAATAAAACTTATGAAAATTTAAGGAAATGAAAAAATGAAGAATCAAAAAAAAAACGTTTTCGATTTCACGATTTTTTCAATTATGGGAGTTTAAAATTTTTTCATTTATTTGATTTTTAATTTGTGAATTTTTCGGTCTTAAAATGTTACAGTTTTTCGACTTCATGATTTTGACGATGTTTAATTTGACTTTTTTATAATTTTTCGATTTTACAGTTTTTCGGTTTTCCAATCTTTCGATTTTTAAGTTTCCGAATTTTTAGTTTTTTCAAATCAATTTTTCGTTTCTTCAGTTCTGCAATTTGCAATTTTTCGATTAGCCACTTTTTTTATTCAGTTTTTCGATTTTTCGACTGTTCAGTTTTTCAGTAAAAATGAAAAAATGGCAAAATTGTAAAATTCAAAAATCCAAAAATGAAGAAAAGAAAAAGTGTCAAATGAAAAAATTGGAAATCGAAGAACTTGAAAAATTGTAGAAACGAAAAATATCAAATGATTAAAAATTCAAAAAAGTGCAAAATCAGAAAAATCCAAAAATGGTTCCAAAATTGGAAAATCTAGGAATTGAAATGTCAAAAATTGAAAATTTGAAAAATTGAATCGTAAGAAACACTGAAAAAATAAAGGAAATGATAAAACAGAAAATTGTGAGATAAAATCGAGTTTTCCAATTTTTCGATATTTAAGTTTCCAAATTTTTAGTTTTTTCAATTCAATTTTTCGTTTCCTCAGTTCTGCAATCTGCAATTTTTCGATTAGCCACTTTTTTGATTCAGTTTTTCAATTTTTCGACAAAAAAAAATGAAAAAATGGCAAAATTGTAGAATTCAAAAATCCAAAAATGAGGAAAAGAAAGTGTCAATTGAAAAAATTGGCAGTCAAGAATTTGAAAAATTGAAGAAACGAAAAATTCAAAAATCAAATGACTAAAAATTCTAAAAAGTGCAAAATCAAAAAAACGAACTTTCGATTGTTCAATGGAAATATTGAAAATTTAAGAAATCGAAAAGTCTCGTAATTGGAAATCCAAAAATTGCAAAATTGAATAATTTCAAAACTGCAAAATCTAGAAATTGAATTGTCAAAAATTGAAAATTTGAAAAATTGAATAAACGAAAAATTATAAAATCGAAAGAAACACTGAAAAAATAAAGGAAATGTAAAAACAGAAAATTGCGATATACAATCGAGAAAATGAAAACTAAAAAATCGGGAAAATGAAAAATAAATATTATGAAAATTTAAGAAACCGAAAAATCTGGTAACTGGAATTCCAAAAATTGCAAAATTGATTAATTTCAAAATTGGAAAATCTAGGAATTGAAGTGTTAAAAACTGAAAATTTGAAAAATTGAATAAATGAAAAATTATAAAATCGAAAGAAACACTGAAAAAATAAAGGCAACGAAATAACGATATAAAATCGAGAAAATAAAAAAATCGGGAAAATGAAAAATGAAAAATAAAAATTATTAAAGTTTAAGGAAACGAAAAAATGAAAAATCAAAAAAATAAAAATTGAGGAACTGAAAAATCGAGACATGAAAAATTGTGATACCGAAAAATTGCAAATAAAAAAAATAAAGAAAGGAAAAATTGCGATAACAAAAACGTCGCATCGAGATTTCAAAAATAAACTGTTGCTGTAAAAGTTAGAAGAGGCTAATAAGAATATGTAAAATTAATTATAGGGTGTTTTATTAAAAAATAGTAATAATAATAAGTTGTGTGTTACGCCTTAAAAATGGTACATTCTGTACCTATAGTTAATTTTTTTTTGCTTTTTTCTTTCTCCAAGATCGTTTTAAACAATTATTAGAAGTCAATTTTATTTTAAATTGTTGCTTCTGTAACAAATTCTTAATTTATTGTTAAACACCGTGTAAATTTAAAAGTATGCATTTGTGGACATTGGTTAATATGGGGTTATGTGCATTTTTAGGTCAGGAAGACATTTCTCAAATTTTACGCATATATTAGGAATCACCCTGTATATCACATTTTACTCTTGATGAGACATCACTATTTTTTTATTACTTTATTTTTAAACGAATGTACTTTTTATTACCTAAAAATAATTTTAAAAAATGGTCTAAAGTTATTTAGACAGAACTTGCCTTGCCTTTAAAGTATAATCGAAGGAATGCAACTACTTTTGGAAAAATAAAAAAAATAATGTTGGGAATTTTATATTTTTTATGACAACCCCTATAACTCAAAACGAAAATATATGTCGACTGTTAAAGTACAGGTGAAGAAGTGAAGAAATGTAAAATACTATGTAGTATTAAATATATTGAAACCAGATAACTACGAGCAATATGAAATATATATGATCAGTACATGCTTAACTTCGATTGTTTATTTTATTCATCGAAAGAATGCGACCATTAAGCATTCACAAAGTTAGTTGACCCGAATAAGTGTAAGAATTTTCAATTATTAATTAAGTTATAATGAAATAAAACATGTTTCCACACGTCAATAATCTTATACTGGTACAAAATGTCACGCTTATGGTAAAAAATTGTAAAAACCAATTTTGAATTTTTTTCCAAAAATCTGGATTCTTAAATCACACCTATGTAATTCTTTAAAATTTAAGGAAAAAATTTGGCAATAAACGAAAAAGTTTTGATTAACAATTTACCATGCCTATGATAACCTTAAAACTCTTGCAAGATTTCAGAGCACTCGCTTTTGCAGTTTCAAAGTTAAGCTGCAAAATGTTGTTATACAACTTTGATTTTTTTCTAAAAAAATCTGGATGTGTAGTGTAAAAATTCGATACGGATTCATAAACCACATATAGAGGAGTATCTTATTTTATAAATTTAGATATTTACTAATGAAAATTTTTGGAGAAGACGTCATCCTATTGTTGATAGGGATGATTAGTCAAATTTTGATTGGCGCTTTACTATCCACACGATATTACTAATACACATGGAAAATTTGACAACAATTGGTCCAGTAGTTTTGGAGATTGTCTAATAAAAATTTCAGACAGACGGGAAACAGACAGACAGACGGAAACGGAAGTGCTATTTTTCGTAGACTAGGGGTCATGAAACGTTGAGAAAACATAAAAGTAGGCAGTCGTCCAATGGGCTCGATTAGTTACGCTCAGAAAGTAAAAACGGGCACATTATTTTCAATTTAAAACAAAATAAGAATTTAAACTATTTTTTGTGAAAGAAATACATGTTTAAAAATAAAATCCCAAAAAGCTAATTTTACACGTGAAAGCAACCCTTTGAAGGCAAATTCCCTTTTACAAGAACTCTTTTTGTGCTGAAACTTAAAATTAAGGAAGTGTATCCAACGGCGACGTTTGTTCCGAATTTTCAGTCTCCGGCTATAAACCTTAAAAAATTCCTGAGTCGCAACAAAATTGTTAGTATTTAGCTTTTTCAGAAAGTTATTTAACAAAAAAAAAAAATAGAAAACTATAAATCCAGTGTGGAAACTTATGTTTGCAGAAAACGACTGTGTTTAGATCAAAACACCCTCATCTTACATTAGTCCAGTGAACTTTTAATCTTGTGAAACTGTGCTTCTGAAAAAATTGTCTAAAAATTCACAAAAAATTCTGATAAAAAATCTAAATTGTCGAAAATGTCAAAAGTATCAAAATCAGTCTTATAAAATGCTAGCCCCGCCCACCCACCCTCTATTTTTTTGTAGGATATGACATTTGCCAAAATCAATCTTATCTTAGCAAGTACTAGCCCCGCCCACCCGCCCTTTGTTTTCTTAGAAGATATGTGATGTGCCAAACACTGTCTTATCTTAGCAATAACTAGCCCCGCCCACCCCCACTCTTCTCATTCTATGACTAATTTTATTTCTGTTCAGAATAAAGACATTCATTTTTATTGTATAAAGTCTAAATGCCAATACTTTATGTCATATTTTGGAGCAAATTTGTTCAAAAATAATGGAAACACGATTTAAAAATTTTAACAAAAATATTATGAAAATTTTACACAAATTACGAAAAAAAGTGGCCTATGGGACATCGAACCGTTATAAAATGTTATTATATAATTTAGATTGTTTGGGAAAAATCTGGATGTTTAGGGTAAACACTCGAATTCATAAACCACACGTACAGTGTTATTTTATACAATTTAAATAGCGTTTACTACGTAAAATTTTGAGGTGTCATTATTAAATTGATGGGGAGGATAATCAAACAAGTAGTTTCGGTCTTGTTTTTTCACTGAAAATTTCGTCTCTTGCAGGTCCAACAAACTCAAGCCATTTTGGCTGTCCATTACGGAGAAAGAGACGTTGCCGGTGCTGGACTTCCTATCGGCGGCGCTCCTCTCTGCGGAATATGATCGTGCCTTAAGCAGGGCCTTGGCCATGGCCGAATGTCCGGTGGTGCCGTTCTTCGGGGCCTTCCTGCGCGAACTGCGGGAGATCCTGGCGTCGGGACCACCAGGACACGATCCCGCCGCGGGCTCGGAAGCCATGCCGCCGCCGAAGCCGCCAAAGGCAGACATGCGCAGAGATCGGGACCAACAGCAACAGCAAAGACAAGTGGTAGGTGAGAAATTTTCGATTTCCGCTAAAAAATTTCTTTATATCACCGGTCGACGCGCACAAAAAGTGGCGGCAGAAATTAGTAACAGTTTCTTGTCCAGTTCATATCAGATTACAATGGAGAAGACCACCACTTCACCAAAATTGGCCCTGGCGGACTCATCAACTTGGAAAAAATTTATCGGACGCAAGCCGTAATGGACCACATTTCCCTTTGCCATCAGCACTATCACACCCGCAATCGTCTTTCACCTACCGTTAGTCTCATCGAATATCTTAAGTGAGTAAAACATGGAAATCAGTGTTGACAAATAATGTAAAGCCCTCACCATAATAGCTTCGAGTCGCGTATTACTTTCTTTTATGTCAAAAGGTAAATAGGAATGAATAATAGATGTTGTTGACAAAACAGTCTTGAAATAAGCTCTGAATAATTCGGAAAGTTCGGTAGAATGATCAAGCTGCTCAAGTTATACGGGCTTTTGAATGGAAGTTTGTTGATTTTTCAGGTCGTCGACTGTAAATGAGCAGCGCGTTTTAGCAGCTGCACCCCCACAAAGAACTGAATTAGACGCTGAATATGACTGTGATGTAGATGACTATCATCCTGTACAACCGCTCGTTCACGATCATGGCGTTAGCTTCGTTTGTCTTTCGTCTCCTCTTACGAAAATTGACCAACACGTCATACAGGTAAGTTCATAAAAGTATCAATTCAGCCGCGAAACCTATGACCCGAAAAACCACATCCTTGATAGATCCATCTTACACAGATAGTTTGAATTTCAAATTTTTTAATACATTTTCCGCTTTTCTGGCTATCGATTCACGTCACAACCCACAAATCGGGAATCCTAATGCGTTTTCAGTCGGTTATTGTAATACAGTGTCATTAATAATGGTGGATGCGCCGGGTTGCCTCATAAATTTAAACTAGATTCCAAAATATGTACATGTTAATGCCTCATTCCCAAATCTTATTTACGCGTCGTGTTCGTATTCCGAACGCAACTTTTCTTTCTTTAAACTTAATTTACATGATTTTTTTCCACTGGAAACTTATTTCCGAGCCACCATGAATCATTCGCTCCGGTGACGAAAAACTAGCGGAAAACAGGCTTGCAAATTACGGGTGGCGTTCGCGGAGTGAGACTTTATTATTTTCGTAGTGGAGGTCTTGATTACTGAATTTAATAAAGGGAATTACGGGTTAGTGAGGAAGATTGTAGAAAAATATGGGCGTTTTCTGCATACGTGTGGAATGAACTAAATTAAATTACGGTTGCTAAATGAACCGTATGTAAGCTAAATAGCGTGGGTCTTAATACTCTTTCCTGAACTAACTTAATTTTTTCTTAGATGAATCAATAAAATAAAGATATTGGATTAAGTATATGCCACCAAACATACACTTGACAGATGACGTTACAAAAATTTGAGTCACGTCAAAAATTCAAAATTAATTTTGAAGAAGTTATTGGCAAATTTTTCTGAAGTTGTAGAAAACAGCCTCATCTTAAAAACAAAGATAATAAAATAGTGATCAATAGAACAAAAAAAAAACATGTTACAGTTTAAAGGTTGAATTTACTCGAAAAAACAAATAGTTTTACAATCGTAGAAAATGAAGAAAAGGCGGTATTAAATTTAATGAAGAAATACATTGCTTTCAGACTAATTCAACTTCAAATAATAAGCGATTTTTCATTTTCTGCAAAAACAGCCCATTGGAATCAATACATCTTCCAAAATTTAAAAGTTTTGAAATTAGCGGGACCACGTTTGTATACTGGACATTGTTTTCGGCGGTTTTCTGCTTCAGTATTATCTAATGAAGTGAAGATCAAAGTGCAATACCAAATCCTTCCATTCATTTTGCAGTACCAAATTTGGTGACAAATTTACTAAGATATGAACCTGAATTTTAATTCAGAATATTGTGGATACCATGGGTCAGTTAATCACACAATCACAAACCGAATCACACTGTTTTTACTGAAGTTGTATTTTGTTTGTTTTTTTTTAATGTTCTTTACTTAGACGTCGTTTTTCTTTGTTGTCCCTCCTTTTCGTCCTTTTCTTCGGATTTTTTGGGGATTCCCTTTTTCATCTTTTTTATCGCGTTTTTGTTCCATTTTTTTACCTTGTTTTTGACGCTTTTTTTGTCGTTTTTTGAACCTCTCTTTTTGCCGTCTTTTTGGCGATTTTTCGCTTGTCACCTTTTTTACTGCCTTTTTTTACTCATTTCTTATGGCGCTTCTTTAATTTTTTAGGAGTCTCAATTCTTTTTGTCACCTTTTATTATAGTCTTTTTGTGTTTCACGTTCTTCGTCTCTTTTTTGACGCTTTCGTTGTCGCTTCTTTGTTAGTTTTTTTTTTAGAATTTTTTGGCCATTTTCTTTTTCGCCTTTTCTATTCCCTTTTTTTTTCGTTTTTACCTTGTTTTTCCTTTTTCCCATTTTTTCTTTCTTTTTTAGTCACCATCTATTTTCATGTCCTCTTTTTTTTTATTGACCTTTACGAATTTTTTTATGCCGCATTTGATGGGTCCCTTTTTTAATAACGCTATTTTTATCGTTTTCCGTTTCACTTTTTTCCAAAATTTTTTCGTTTTTCGTTGCGTTTTCAGTTCGTTTTGTGTTGCATTTCTATCGCTTGTTGGCGTTTTTTTTGTAGCATCTTCTTTAGTTCCCTTTTTATCACGTTATACATATTTTATTCCCTTTTTTGTTCTCTTTCTCTATCACCTTTTCTTCATTGTTTTTGGTTTTTTTGTCGATTTTTTGTTGTATTTTCCCATCTTTTTTTTTGTTTTCTTTTTGAAACATTTTTCCACTCACCCATTTTCACCTTCTTTTCGATTCTTTCTTTTTTGTTAACGTTTTTTTCATTATTTTCTTACGACGGCTTTTTCGCTTTTATTATCGCCTTTTTATGTCTCTTTTTTCCCGTTTTCTTTTTCGCCGTTTTTATCTCCTTTTTTAATCCCCCTTCTTACCTTGTTTTTTCTTCGTTTTTTCACATTTTTGTCGCTTTTTTAGTCTCTTCTTTAGTCTCTTCTTTAAACATTTTTTTAGTCGTCCTTTTTTTTACTTTTTTTGTCTCCGTCTATTTTGTACTTTTTTTTTTGGCACCTTTTTATGCCGCATTTGATTGGTCCCTTTTTTAATCGTGTTGTTTTTATCGTTATTCGTTTCACTTTTTTCCAACATTTTTTCGCTTTTTGTCGCGCTTTCAGTTCTTTTTTGGTGGAATATTTATCGTTTTTTGGCGCCTTTTTTCTCTCCTCTTTTTTAGTTGTCTTTTTATAATGTTATATGTATTTTATTCCCTCTTTTGTTCTCTTTCTTTATCACCTTTTTTTCCTGTTTTCCGTCTTTTGGCTACTTTTTTGTTGTATTTTCCCCCGTCTTTTTTTTGTTTTCTTTTTGATACATTTTTTAATCACCCACTTTTCACCTTCTTTTCGATTCCTTGTTATCGCTTTTTTATTGAAATTTTTTTTCATAATTTTCTTAAGACGGTTTTTCCGATTTTATTATCGCCTTTTTATGTCTCTTTTTTCACTTTCTACGTCTCCTTTCTGGCGCTTTCGTTGTAGAATTTTTGTTGTTTTTGTCTTCTTTTTTTTTACATTTTTTTCCATTTTCTTTTTCGCCCTTTTTTCTCCCTTTTTATAATCGCTCTCCTTATCTTGTTTTTTCTTCTTTTTTTGCATTTTTGTCGCTTTTTAATGACGCAGTTTTTGTCGCTTTTTTTAATCTCTTCGCTAAACATTTTTTTAGTCATCTTTTTTCACTTATTTTTCTTCCCGTCTGTTTTGTCCCCTTTTTTTATTTTCCTTTTGGCACCTTTTTATGCCGCATTTGATTGGTCCCTTTTTTAATCGTGTTATTTTTATCGTCTTTCGTTCCGCCATTTTTTGACTTTTTATCGCGTTATCAGTTTTTTTTTTTTGTTGCAATTATTATCGTTTTCTGTCGCCCTTTTGTCTCCGCTTTTTTAGTTCCCCTTTTATCATGTTATATTTTATTACCTCTTTTGTTCTCTTTATTTATCACCATTTTTCACTGTTTTCCGTCTTTTAGCTTTTCCCCTGTCTTTTTTTGGTTTCTTTTTGAAACATTTTTCTAGTTGCCCCTTCACCTTCTCTTCGATTCTTTCTTGTCGCTCTTTGTTGACATTTTTTTCATAATTTTTTTAAGACGGTTTTTCCGCTTTTATTATCGTCTTTTTATGTCTCTTTTTTCACTTTTCGCGTCTCTTTTCTGGCGTTTTAGTTGTCGCTTTTTTGTTGTTTTTGCTGTCTTCTTTTTTAGATTTTTTTTTGCCGTTTTCTTGTTCCCTTTTTTTATCCCATCTATTAATCCCCCGTTCTTACCTTGTTTTTTCTTTTTTTTCGCATTTTTGTCGCTTTTTGATGACGCAGTTTTTGTCGCTTTTCTTAGTCTCTTCTTTAAATATTTTTTAGTCGTCTTTTTTTCACTTTATTTGTCGCCATCTATTTTGTCCTCTTTTTTATTTCCCTTTCGGCACCTTTTTATACCGCATTTGATTGGTACCTTTTTTAATCGTGTTTTCTTGTAACGTTTTTGGTTTCACATTTTTCCGCCATTTTTTCGCTTTTTGCCGCGTTTTCAGTTCTTTTTTGGTGGAGTTTTTATCGTTTTTTGGCGCCTTTTTTGTCTCCGCCTTTTTAGTTCCCTTTTTATCACGTTATATTTTATTCCCTTTTTTTGTTCTCTCTTTCTTTATCATCTTTTTTCCGTGTCGTCACTTTTTTGTTGTATTTTATCGTCTTCTTTTCGTTTTCTTTTGACACATTTTTTTCTTACCCGTTTTTCACCTGTTTTCTTGTCGCTTTTTTGTTGACGTTTCTTCGTCATTTTCTTGGGATGGTTAAGTTTTGTGCCGCTTTTCTATTTGCCTTTTTTTTACTTTTTTCCCCGTTTTTGGCGTCTTGTGTTCCCCTTTGTTACTGCTTTGTCATTTCTTTATTTCCACTTTTCTTTGGTCTGTTTTTAATATCCATTATTTTTTGTCACCTTTTATTTCACTTTTTTTCCGTTTTTTTTTTTTGTTTCTTTTTGTAAGATTTCATCACTTCAGTGTTTTCTTATGGCTTCTTTATCGTTTTCTTAATCGTTTTTTGTCCCCTTTTATACTCCGCTGTCTTTCACTGTTTTCCGTCTTCTTTTATGGCTTTTTTTTCATCTTTCCTTTTATTGGCTCCTTTTTTGTCAATTGTTTGTCGCATTTTCCCATCTGTTTTCGTTGCATATTTTTAACGCATTTTTTTGTCACAATTTAAAGAATTTTCTTCCCTTATCTCACATTGACATAAACACATCGTGTTATTTAATCTATCAATTTTGGACTTTAAAATGAGAAAATGGCACACAGAAATGGATTGAAATAACATAAAATGTATATTTGGTTGCATATATTCTCCTATTTTCTAATTTTAAATATTTAGATCATCAAAAAAATATTATAACGTTAGCGAATGGAAACGACAAACCCTGATAACCTGTAGACCACTAACAATCATTTTCAAAATGTACAGCGAGAGATAAGACCAAAATTGTCAGCCATTGCTTAATTTTTTTATTTTTAAACTATGCCATCATAATAAAGAATGTTTCTAAATTACCTCCCTGAAAAGAGCTGCAGGTCAAATAATTAAGTATTTCCATTACCATCAGAAAATAAAATACTCATCCTACGTCTGGAAAATTACGTAAAAACAAAAATCCATTTGATGAAATTCTTTAACAAACTTTTGGCCGGATTTAACCCTGAAAAAAATTTGCCGCATACTTTTAGCCATTTACTTCCAGTTAACTGAAGTTTCAATTTTGTACCAAGCTCTTATTAGTGTATTTTTAGCTCGTCAACATCGATTTTGTTGTTACAAGCATGGTAATAATCGGCCTCAATGGAATTTTTTTATTATCAAATTGATTGGTGCACTCCAGGTTGACCTTTGTTCGATAAACGTAGTATATGAAATGACTTAAAAAATAAATAAAACGGGAGATTTAAAACTCTCATAAGCTATTTTTTAAGTTAACTAACAAACTAGTGAAAAATAGACAAAATTCTGTACCAGACACACTGAAAAAGTCCAGAAAGTTAGGTTATGATTGACATTTACGACAGATAACGACGGGTAGTAATCAATCATCACAACAAGGCGGCCAAATTCACACAGTTTCAAAGCCGAGTTGATATAGATTTTTTTTACAATCACCTTGCACGTTTATGCAGACTATATCGTCTAAATTTTTCTTTATCTTCAACTTTCGTAAATATAAAGTTAAATTGGAGAAATTCCGTACTCTTTCTTTATCTTAAATAAGTGAAAAAATGCTTATAAACAATTTGTTTTTTTTTTAGGTTGTGTTGTTTTAATGTAATTTTATTAAATGTGTGAAACATAATCATTGTTGATAACATTAAATTTTTGCTTTACATATGTCATTTTTTAAACGATCGAGTCTGCACTGTAATGTTGGTTGCATAGTCATCAAATTTTAGTAGGGTATTGATTTTATCGTTTTAAAATCCTCGGTATATTTATGTATATTAAATGATTATGATCTTTTTTTTCAAAACTGAAAAACTACAAATTTTTGTTTTAGAGATTGTTTTGAGAAACACAAGACCGATTATTAAGTATTAAAAATATTTGCAGTATTGTGTCAAGTTGATTCCAGGGGGAAAATATTTATCTTTCCCAGCACACTTGAAATTAACGCTTTAATGTCATTATTTTAAATCATATTTTCCAAACAATTTTTAAAAGTTAAACAGTTTTGAAAATCAACAATACGTTATTTTTGGCAAAGAAAAAATATTGTCAGTACTCCATCTTTCCATCTAGGCACGTATATTTATCTTGTATTTACGATACTTCAACTGTCCCCCCTCTCAGCCCTCCTTAATTTCCTCCCATCCTCCACTACCGTCCGTGCAATTTCGCAAATTCCCCACCTTCCTGCTGCCGTCAAAATTTTCCTGCACCAGCAGGAATGACCTTGACCTAGTTCCCGATCGAGCGTCAAGTGTCATCAGCGCTGCCGCCCTAACGAGCCCTCGTGCATGTTTGCCCTAACTCGTTCGTTATTTCAGATCCTGCACCACGGCAGCACGGCCGTCCTGTGGGAGGGCGTCGAAGGGCCGTCTCCGCCCGGCCTCCGCGGAGTCCTGCTCTACCTGAGGCTGGATCGGTCCTCCACGACGCTGACGTGGGTGCGTCCCAGTTGGAGTGGACTGAAGGCCGGCAACACGAACGACTCCGATCCCTTTTCTACCGACTTTAATTTATCTTTTAATCCTGAAGAGACTCTAGCTCCGGGCCTACTCACTAAACTGGCATTACAAGCTTCCGGAGAACAGTCCACCGGAACGACGCTGGACGACGGGTAATGCAAGGCTTTTTGGGCTTTTTTCGCTTGAAGGGGGTTCATTACGGGTGATTAAGACCGGGAGAGTGGAAGGCAAGGAAAGATGGGGCTGTTAAGCTCGGGTTATGTTGAAAATGTATAGAATGGGGAGGGTGTGTCTGTATAGCGGATTTAGAAAAAATGATGCACACATGGAAGGAAAAAGTACACAAAATAAAATGAGACCATATTGTCTGTTCTGCGACGTCTGAAAGCCGGCTTGAATCTTTTGAAGTCACATTACAAATACGTTCAAGAAACGTGGTCTCTAGTTAGCTTACGTCACGTCTCTACAATCAATTTAATTAGCGCCTTAAGTTAAGCTGGTGGTGATGGTTTCAGTGTTACAACTTCATTGTTATGTCAGAGCAGAGACGAAATCTGAAACTTGTTAAAATCAGTTCATGCTAAAATGCCTTAAAGGAACTAAAGCGCAGAAAATATGAATTTATGGAATGACTATACTTTGTGGAAAAAAAATGGATTCAAGTTTTTCAACAAGTAATATTGACCATAAATTCACTAAACTGTTTAACGCTTACAGCTTTCTTTCGTATAACTTTTACATTGGTGTTGCCAAGTTTACAATCAAAATTTACAACCTGGTTTTTTCTCTAGTTATCCAAAATGAAATGAAAATTTCCAAACAAATACTTGCTTATCAAAGATAATAAAATGCGTCTATTCGCTTAGTCACTTTGTTTAAATATTTTGAGTCACTGACTTCAGTATTTTTTAATATATCCCTATATAAAATTTGGTAAATTTTATTGGTAACACTGATCTACAAAATGAAACTGTCTGCAATCATTGGAAATGAAAGTACATGTTTATAATTTAATTGTTTCTTCTAATTACGAACCGTTCGATTTGTAATTGTGTCCCAAATTAAGAAATCTGAGGCTAATTATATTTCATTTTAGAAATAGTATTATACAGAAGAACGAATGTAAGAATCTATTTCTTCCCTCTTTAAAATTGGCATTTTCTTTTTAAAATATCTTAGAAGATAATTATTATGTTCCGATTTTAGAAATAGCATCAAACAGAATAACGAACTTCGAGATCCCGATTTTGTTTCATTTTCAGAAGTATAAATCACAAGAATTTGTTTCAATTCTAGAAAAGTACACAATACAATAAAGAACCCCAAGATTCCTCTTTCGTTTCGTTTTTAGAAGTAGCAATCTCGAAAGCTAATTGTGTTTCGCTTTTAGAAGTAGTAATCTCGGGCACCAATTTTGTTTCGAATTTAGAAATGGGATATAATAGAATACAGAACCTCGCGATCCCTATCTTCTTAGAAGTAGTAATCTCTGAGGATAATTGTCATTCGCTTTGAGAGCTCGAGGATTAGTTTTCTGGATATTTACCAATCTCGGGGACTAATTATGTTTCGATTTTTAAAAACCATACAATAAGGAACCTCAAGATTCTAATTTTGTTGTGTTTTTAGAAGTACTTAGCAATCCCCAGGACTAAATTTTTGCGATTTTAGAACTTGTATACAATAGAATAAAGAACCTCGAGATCCCGATTTTCTTTCGTTTTTAGAAGTAATCACGGGGAGTTATTGTTTTTCGCTTGTAGAATCATTAATCTCGGGGGCTAATTGTGTTTAAATTTCAGAAATAGCAATCTCGGGGCTAATTATTATGTTTCGATTTAAAAAAAAAGCATACAATAGAATAAAGAACCTCCGGATTCCGATTATGGTTTAGCTTTTAGAAGTAGAAATCTCGGGGACAAATTTTAAGACCCTTGAGATCCTCTAATTTTGTTTCGATTTTAGAACACAATAGAATTAAGAACCTCTGGATCCCGATTTTCTTTCGTTTTTAGAAGTAATCGCGAAGAGTAATTATGTTTTGCTTTTAGAATTACCAATCTCAGGGGCTAATTGTGTTTCCGTTTGAGAAATAGCAATCTCGGGATTCTAGAAGTAACAGTCGCGAGAATTATTTTGTTGCGATTTTAGAACTAGCATAGAATAGAATAAAAAATCTCGGGATCCCAATTTTTTTCGCTTTTAGAACTAACAGTCTCGAATTCTGTTTGTGTTTCACTTTTAGAAGTAGCAATCCCCAAGACTATTTTTTGGCGATTTTAGAACTAGCATATAATAGAATAAAGAACCCCGAAATACCGATTTTCTTTCATTTTTAAAAGTAATCGCGAGGGGTAATTATGTTTTGCTTCTGGAATTACCAATCTCCATTTCGATTTTAGAAGTAACAGTCTCGAAGACTATTTTGTTACGATTTTAGAACTAGTATACAATAGAATAAAGAACCTCGGCATCCCAATTTTCTTTCGGTTTTAGAAGTAACAGTCTCGAGGTCTAATTGTGTTTCACTTTTAGAAGTAACAATCTCCAGGACTAATTTTTTTGCGATTTTAAAACTAAGATACAATAGAATAAAGAACCTCGGGATCTCGATTTCCTTTCGTTTTAAGAAGTAATCTCGGGGGCTAATTGTGTTTTAGTTTTAGAAATAGTGATCTATGTTTCGATTTAAAAAAAAAACATACAATAGAATAAAGAAACCCGGATTCCAATTTTGTTTAGCTTTTAGAAGTAGAAATCTCAGGAACAAATTTTGTTTCGAATTCAGAAGTAGGATACAACAGAATAAACAACCTCGAGATACCCATTTTCGTTCGGTTTTAGAAGTATGAATCTCTAGGACGAATTTTGTTGAGATTTTAGAACACAACAGAAGTTCGTTTTTAGAAGTAATGGCGAGGGGTAATTATGTTTTGCTTTTAGAATTACCAATCTCAGGGGCTAATTGTGTTTCGATTTTACAAGTAACAGTTTCGAGGACTATTTTGTTACGATTTTAGAACTAGCATACAATAGAATAAAGAAACCCGTGTTTCAGCTTTAGAAATAGCAATCTCGGGGCCTAATTATGTTTCGATTTAAAAAATACATACAATATAATTAAGAACTTCGAGATTCCAATTTTGTTTAGCTTTTAGAAATAAAAATCTCGAGGACTATTTTTGTTACGATTTTAGAACACAACAGAATAAATACCTCTGGATGCCGATTTTCTTTCGGTTTTAGAAGTAATCGCGAGAGGTAACTGTGTTTTTTCTGGTTTTAGAATTACCAATCCCAGGGGCTAATTATGTTGTGTTTTTAAAAGTACATATACTTCAATAAAAAAATAGATTCCAATTTTGTTTTGCTTTTAGAAGTAGCAATCTCGAAGGCTAATTTTGTTTTGCTTTTAGAAGTAGTAATCTTGGGAAACAATTTTGTTTCAAATTTAGAATAAATGACTTCGAGATTCCTAGTTTTTTCGGTTTTAGAAGTAGTAATCTCAAAGGATAATTGTGTTTCGCTTTTAGATTTAACAACCTCAGGGGTTAATTGTGTTTCCATTTTAGAAATAGCAATCTCGGGGGCTAATTTATTATGTTTCGATTTTTAAAAAGTATACAGTAAAGAAGCCCGATATTCTAATTTCGTTGAGTTTGTAGAAGAAGTCATCTCGAGGCCTAATTGTATTTCGCTTTTAGAAGTAACAATCTAGAGGATTTATTTTGTCGCAATTTTCGAACTAGTATAGATACAAGAGAATAAAGAACCTCAGGATATCGATTTTCTTTCGTTTTTAGAAGTAACTTTGGGGGATAATTGTTTCGCTTTTAAAATTAGTAATTTCAGGGATAATTGTGTTCCATTTTAGAAATAGCAATCTCAGAGCTAATTATGTTTCGATTAAAAAAAAGCATACAATAGAATAAAGGACCCCGAGATTCCAATTTTGTTAAAGTTTTAGAAGTAGCAATCTCGGGGAACAATTGTGTTTCGCATTTAGAAGTAAGAATCTCGAGTTCTAATTGTATTTCGTGTTTAGAAGTAACAATCTCCAGGGCTAATTTTTTGCGATATTAGAACTAGCATACAATAGAATAAAGAACCTCGGGATCCAGTGTTTCTTTCGTTTTTAGAAGTAATCTCGGGGGTAATTGTAAATCCAAGTTAGAAATACCAATCTCGGGATCTAATTATATTTCGATTTTAAAAAAACATACAGTATAATAAAAAACCCGAGATTCCAATTTTGTTTCGTTTACAGAAGTAGCAATCTCGAAGCCTATTTTTGCGGTTTATCTCGAATGCCAATTGTGTTTCGTTTTTAGAAGTAATAATTTCGAGGACTAATTTTTTCATAATTTTAATAAAGAACCTGAGTATCCCAATTTTCTTTCTTTTTAGAAGTAGCCATTTAGAAGATTTTTTTTGTGATTTTATGACTAGCATACAACAGAATCAAAAACCTCGGGATTTCGATTTTCTTCCGTTTTTAGAAGTAATCTCGGGGGATAACTAAGAATCCATTTTAGAAATAATAATTTCGAGGGATAATTTTTTGCGATTTTAGACTTTGCATACAATAGAATAAAAAAAAACCAATTTTGTTTTGTTTTCAGAAGTACCTAGCAATCTCGAGAGCCAATTGTGTTTCGTTTGTAGAAGTAACAATCTCGAGGATCAATGTTCTTTCGTTTTTAGAAGTAACAATCTCGGGAGCCTATATTGCTTTGCTTTTAGAAGTAGTAATATGGCGATTCATTTTGTTTCGAATTTAGAAATATGATACAACAAAATAAAGAACCTCGAGATTCCAATTTTGTTTCAATTTTAGAAGTAACAATCTCGAGAGCTAATTTTATTTTGCCCTTAGAAGTAACAATCTCCAGGACTAATTTTTTGCGATTTTAGAATTAGCATACAATAGAATAAAAAACCGAAGTTCCAATTGTGTTTCGTGTTTAGAAGTTAACAGTCTAGAGGACTAATTTTGTTGCGATTTTCGAACTAGAATATTTTGTTTCGTTTACAGAAGTAGTAATCTCGAAGCCTATTTTTGCGGTTTATCTCGAGGGCCAATTGTGTTTCTTTTTTTTCTTGTGATTTTAGGACTAGCATACAACAGAACCAAAAACCTCGGGATTTCGAT